CGGCACGGCTGACAAGACAACGCGTGACTTTGAATGTCCATGAGTAAGCCTAAACAGAGACGCTAGTGCTAGGAACACTCTGCACTCTGGGTTGACGTGCTTCCATAAATGCAGCGTCTTTTCTTATGGTTGGTTGATCCAACTCAACAATGACTGCGTAGCAACTAAAATTTTCAGATGCATTTTCTAATGTAATGCGCCTTTCTCCTGAAATTGTCATATTCGGCACTTGTTCAAGGAGAACAGTTGCTCGGTCTCAAAGCGTTTCATATACTCTCAAAGTGTTTCATATAATAAGCTTATCTCGTTCCTGCGGCACTTCGACATTCGACAATCGTTGCACAGGTTGCATAACACGCAGCTTTCAACATAAGTACGCAAGTAGACGATAGAAGGAATGTAAGAAGAGCTGTGTAGTCGGTAAAGGCAGCACGACTTGCTCTGCGCACCCACGGGGGATACCCCGTACCCCCACGCGTTTTTCGTAAATAGTGGAAAAACCATGACGCTACATAACTATTCTCCCATCAATTTTAAGTATGGAGTGCAATTAGCTGCCTTCCTCATTCTAAGATCAGGTCATTAGGTCACTTGGAATGACTCAAACTCAAATATATACCAACAACTTTTTACTAAGTCACTAATTCAGGCTAATAACTTCTTACAGTAGAGATTCAGCAACGCACATGGTCTCACTGGGTTAACCTTTTCAATACGTAAGTTATCCAATGATATGTATTTTTACCGACCACACTGGACTTTTAAGTCTCGCGAGCTGAGGTCAAGTTTTGACCTTGACCTTTCAAGGTCAAAACACATGTGTTTCGGTGCATGTCGACGAGCGGATCTCAATTGGGCTTTTATTTTGTTCTAGCTGGATAAATTGAAAAGTTATTCTTGAAAAATCTCGTCTGCCCTCCGATGTCTCTATTTTGAATATTTTTACTCTTGGGCGGCAATTTTACTTGCACTGAAAAAGACCTTCGTCAAGCTTGTAGCCTTTGTCCGCCTGTATTCAACACCGTTTACCGTTTTTTTTTTTGCTAGCTTGGTTGGTTTTCAAAGTCATGGGGGGGGGCGCTGGCATCCGCCCCCCGTCGGCGTCGGTGCAGAGTTGGCCGGACCCCCGTCGGTGCGCGGGTTACCAGGCTACAAGATAACACAAGACGCGGAGTAGACAAGATATGTGGAAAGGTAGCCTGATGTCGGTATCAAGTAAACCATGTGTAATTGCGTATTGTGGATCTCAGGCAGCTTTTGCCAAATTGTCAGGGAACTCAGATTTGTTTTTCAATAGAAAAGCACAATTCTAAAGAATAGTGTTTTAACTATTGACAAGAAATCTTCGGTTATTACACAACGCTGCAATGCGCATGGACATTGCTTCATGCTTTGATCAGTGCATTGATTTGCCTACGATCAATGCCTACAACATTGTTCCATGCAACGTCGCTGCATACCATACACAGTGCGGCTGCTCGCTCATGCTTATTTGTACCGTATGACCGTCAATAAGAACACATATGTTGACAAATATTGTCGCCAATACCAAAACATATTGCTCGCCTAGTCTCCTGCCTGTCCGGATGGCTGTCAAGTAGCAAGTTCTGTAACCAGTCCAGTAAGCTGACCAGTAATTTGTCCGGTCATCTGTCCAGCTCAAACATCAAGTAACATGTTCGGTCACAACTCACATGTCCGGTGCCATGTATGTACGCTCCCCTGTCTCCCATGTACTGTCAGCTTCTGTCCGGAAAAATGTCCGGTACGCCCAACGCCTATAATGACACTTCCGGTGACATGCCCGGTCACGAGGTCACCTATCAGGTCACATGTTATGACTGCTACCGCCGTCGGTTACTTTGCCAACCCCAGGTGCTGCTTTCCCAAGGCGTGACCACTGCGGCCACAGTGAAGCCCACGCCGACCACCGAATCTTTCCACGCTACCGCCACATTGCATGGCTTTTGTCCATGATAGAGGCTGAGCGGTAAACTAAACTGTGAGGAGTGTTCATGGTGGTTTTCCGCTTTGGGTCCGGTAAAACTGTCGGATGACTAACGCTGTTGTTAGGGAAAGTCAAAGGTAGAGATTCACTTTTGGGTAAGGTTGAGCGCGCGCCGCGCTGTGAGGTTTGGTACAGAGCGGGACTGAAAGGGAAAATGCATGAGGTGGAATCGCAAGCATCGGACAGCTCGTTGGGTAAAACAAAGCTTAACGTGCCATGAGCTGATTTGTTAGTCATAGGTAGGGCTTGAACCGATTCTGTTTTTGCTTAATATTATATACAATGTCCAAGGACTTCAATGTTTGAGGAAAACTTATCACAAATTCAAATAACTCCCGGTCCATACGCATACAGACTGCAAATGTCACTGATTTCTCACCTGATAACAAAAACGAAACGCTATGCGCCGCGGTCGCCTCATCACTGACACTGCGCTACGAACCACCGCAAACCGTTGAAGACACTTCTCGGGCACCAGCTCACAAACATCTGGTTCCAGTGCCCGCTCTCGCATGACGCCACATCCCGGGGTCTCCCCGCGAAAAGACCCAGTCGTGATCTCATCCTCACGCAATCTCAGATCTTGGAACATCTCAGCTCCTCACGAGATCCTGGAACACGCGGCGTGCGGAGATCGAGGGGGACCGACCTCTTCTGCTAAACTCTGACTCACCTGGGGTGACTCCCTTTGCTCCTTGTTCTCTTTTCTGCCCACTTCGCCCCTGTGCCCCGTTTCACCACTTTACACAGGTTTCCTCACAGCACAGCACACCCACCGCTCCGCGAGCGCCTGCGCCGCGCCGGTGCCGCCGCGGACAGCCCAGCTGACTGACCGCTCCGCCGCGGCGACCGCGCGGCGGCCCGCACCGTTCCGCCTCCCTCCCCTCCCCTCCCCGCCCGGTCCGCTACCTCCCCCCTCTCACTCACCCCGCCCCACACCCCACGCGGCCGCCGCGACCACGGCAGAGCCGTGCGACTGCTGAGACTGCCGACGAGTGACGTCACTAGCCGGGTCGGTTGGCGAGGTCAGGGTACCGCCGGCGTCATGCGGGCAGAGGTCACCGGCCGACGCGGCGGTGTGTGACGTCATGGGTATAGACTTGTGACGTCACACACGGGACTAACGGGGGTGGGGGATGGGAAGAGGTATAGTACTGGTCACGGTGGTTGGGGAAGGGGGGGGGGGGGGGGGTGGAAGTGGTAACTGATATTAACCGCAGTAGCGTAATGGCTCTGACAAGTGACCTTTCAATTATTTCGTTTTTTATACATTGATGAAATGCTGAGTGTAGTCTAGGTATATGTGCTGCGTAAGCGTATACCCCTCAAAACCATGGATGACGCATGACTATGAACTATGAGACTATCAGAGTGACAGTTACGGTGACTGTGACAGTGACATTGACAGTGACAGTGACCAGTGACACTGACAGTGACAGCAGAGCCCGGCTCGCTGAAATAACAGAAAAGGGAAAGTGCTGCAGTGCGAACTGCGTCGTTCCGCACGAATGTGTCGGCTTCAAGGCCAGACTTGTATTCGTGTCATACTGTCCCTGGCTGAATGGCTCGGAAAGGGCATGGGCAGAGCGGTGGTCGGTGCTGTTCATACAAAACTGACATTTTGAATTCAGTTTAGCGAATGAATCAGCGCAAGCTAGCACGGAGGTATTTAAACTCAATTTGCTTTAATGCTCGTCTCCCAAACCTGAAAATCGCACTTCCGACATTGGATTGAAATAGCACATGCAATATTTGTGGTTTGTGCTAAGAGCGCACCACACATATGGAAGAGCCTACACAAACTTCAATGCATAATGTCCTCATTCACTAATCAAACAAGCTGTTGAAACAGTCAACAGTGCCAACACCTTGCTGGAAATCCCAGTGGGCGCGCCAGCCAGCCTCTATCAGGGCGCTCGCTGCAAAATGTGCGAGCCGTTTTCCTCACGATAAGCGTCTGGCAGCGATGCCAGTGCTCGTGCGACCAGTAGCCAACCAAGGTCAGACATGGGGCGGGGCCCGTGAATTGGGAGGGGGCGATGGGCGATGGGCGAGGGCCAGGGGCGAGGGCTGGTGGGTGGGTCTGAACCGGATCCAGACCACATCAAGGACGACTGCTATTTTCTTCGTTCGCAGGGATGTATGCAGATGAGAAGGACGGAATGCTGGAGCTCGGTGGGTCTGACAAGTAGTGAGATAAAAGGTTCGGCGGTGGCAGTTTCGTTGGGCTTATATTTATCAGGAGTGTCACAACATTGACCTAGATATTATGACACGCAAAAGATGAAAGTTTTTCTTGGGGATTTTGTGTGTACCTATGTTATAGCTAATTGCATTGCTGTCTCCTTATCAATTTTAGCTACCTAAATCTTATGACGATATAAAGTAAAAAACAAATGTATTTTTGCACCTCATACGGAAATGTTTGGTGGCTTGAAATAAGCGTTAACCTGTGCTCTCAGCTCACCGTGGAAACTACAAATTGTAGCTCTTCAAACTGCTTAGCCTATGTACATTTCTCAGAAAGAATGAACACTTTATTAGCTCCTTGTGCCGTGGAGCAGTGCTCTAAGTTCCGCACATACATTCGTTCAGCATTGTTTTAATTTCAACATATATCTCTCGGATAATAGCGCCACAAGCTTGTCGGACAGCCAGCATAAAAACATCAAGGTTTCTTAGTTGTCCCCGAATCATAACTACCCGGACCTTTAGGTAACTTATCCACAGCTTAGCCGCCTTACAACTTCTGAAAACGGAAAGTAATGTACCACATCGGTAACCATTTTGTTAAACTATGACCGTAAAAGAGACAACTTCGTGGTCGTCTTTTTGAAGATTTTTCAAAGTTGGCGAAGCGATAAGTCAGGGAAGAGTTACGGCGGACGAACAGCAAAGCCGAAACATTAATTACTGGCTCAGAGTTCTTCTTTTTCGACGCCCCGGCCTTCCCGTTACTTTTTCAATGGCAGATCCATGGCAGTTGCATCACGCTCTAATTTAAAATGTTTTCTTATATTTGCAAAAGTGTGTTCAAAACTTACGCCATTTTGCTTGATTTTACTAAATTAATCACCGTTTTTATAAATTTTCATCAAAATTAATTTTGTTATGCCTTGACTTTGTATAATCTAAATTAGAAATTTATTGTGATGTATTTATCGTATTTTTGTTCACATTTCTCTTGTTTGGCCATCGCAGTTCTTCTCGTTTCGTTGAATCAAGAATGTAGGGCTGACGTCGCTGAAGGTAAGCCTTGATAAATCGCGCAGTGTTTAATTAGTGCTTCTTTTTCTACACTTAACAGGTATTTCTTTTAGGAAATGGGAGTCGAATCTCTGCAGTTTTTACATACGGCCCTGTGACTTTAGGAAATTACGCTAAACGTTAGAAACGTTGGACAAATTGAACAATGTGAGTGCTCATTTGATCGTTGGCAGACTAAATTATTGTAAACATCCTACATATTATCATTGAATGGACGCTCAAGAGCGCTGAAAATTTTAAAATCACACACTGACTTTGAAAACCCCTCTCCCTTTGACAGAGACCGAGGCAGTGCGCGCCGCCGCCGCCAAGGAGCTGGTCGATCACACGCACCCGGACATCATCGACAGGCATGTGGTAGTCACAGATCAAGGAGTTGATGAAGCGGAAGCTGGACCGGGAGCCTGCAAACACTTTGGTGTGTTCTACAGGAACCGACAGCTGCTACACACGACCGTCACTTGTTTCAAGGTCGGTAATATTTAGGTGCGGATGAGAGAGATAAAGACGGGGGTCACGTTGCGTTACGTTACGTTACGTGTTAGGTTTGTGGGTTGTCGTGAATGCAGGGCGGTAGCTGCATTATTTAGCGTCGTTTTATAACGATGAGACTTGTGTTACATGCTGCTTTAACCCTATTAGTGGCAGGGGGGTTGTTTTTATCCACCCCTCAGGTTTTTCGGGAATATCTCCGAAACCGCTAAAGCTACGATGCTGAAATTTTCTGACTTTTCCTAAAACTAAATTGGGCACATTCCCTGAAAATTTCAAGTTCATAACTTTACCAGGGGCGGCTCCAGAGCACTGGGAATTGGGGGGTCCTATTCGTGAAGCGAGTCATTTGGGCGAAGATCACGATGCTGCACCAGTTTTACGAACAGTGAATGAAAGGTATTATGTGATAACATATACAGTTATTGTGCATCCTCTTTTGACACGTTTTTGCTATAATAGGCGGATCCAGGCGTCCAAAAAGGGGGGTTATGTTTAACCTCCCAACATAGGTGCCCTGACACCGCCTATGCATGACCAATACAATTGTAGTCGTTCTCTCATAAGAAAATTGTAACATAACAAGACCATTACCAGCCCTTTTTAGAAACAGTACCAACAAAAACCTTATTTATTATACTTTTTGTGTACCCCCAATCTCAATGATCTGCATCCGCCTATGATTTTTGAAAATGCATATTTTTAGGATCCATGTGAATTCCTGGTTCATTCTCTATCGATCGGCAAAAGTTGCGTTAAGATTGGTTCAGAAACCTGGCCGTGATAAACAGTCTAAAATGTATCTGAAATTTGCCCGTTTTTACCCCCCTCTACCCCCCCTATTGACATTTTTTAAGTTTAATTTTTTAGAAATGTAGATCACGTCGAGCGAAATCGAATGCCGTTTGAATTTTGAAAATCGGCCCGTTAGATCTCGAGATATCAAGGGGGGGTCGTAAACAGCCCCCCCCCCCCTGCCACTAATAGGGGGTAGCCAGGAGCCTGCCACTAATAGGGTTAATCGATTTCGCCGTTGCATGCTTGATGGATCCGTAATATAGCACGGACTACAAATGACAGTCACGGTAAATCTCTCGCTTTGAAGCAGCCTGGCGGTGTGAAATAAATTTATTATTACTATGTAACTATCAGACTTACCGTCCCTTACTCTCGGTAATGGGAGGCATGATCGCTTGGTGGCGCTAGGTTGAAACGTCAGGTGGTTATAGGTATAATTAATCGTCGCGTAATGCTAATTGATATGTTAGTTGAATAGCTTCACTGAACGGGATAGTTTCGCGGTATGTAAATTACGGTCACATCGTCGCCCGTTGGGCGAATGATTGCCAAACACTCAAATCAAGTATCAACCAGTCAGAGTCGAAACAATGCTGCAGTTTCGTTAAGTATTCTTTACTACTCATAAAAGCAAAAAAAAAGATTTTCTCTGGATGCGTACAATGGCAGTTCAAATATCAGTTACAATTTATGGTTTCGATTTCCGACAGTCTTACCTGCTTCCTACCTGTCTGTTGCACTCGGCCGTACGAAGTTTTCCAAAGTTGTCCTGCTGTCTGCAGATGAGAAACTTGCGGAACTGGGCTTCAATGAAAACACTCATGCAAACACAACTCTAGTGGACAAAACGATGATCGCTGTCACGCCATGCACTTCGCTTCATGACCTCCGACCTCGCAAAACGTAAAGCTAATGTAGGAATGATTGTTTGCTACTGCGCAGTAGGGGCGAGGCAATGGACGGTAATGGATAGCTGTAGTTTATTCTGGTGCACCGGGTTGGCAAGTGCGTCATCTATATGATGGACAGCCTTTAAATGCTACCTGCCCACATACGAGCATAATTGGCGGTAAAGTCTGAAACACTCGCATTGATAGCTTCCTGTCTGCGTTTCGATTGGGAATCGGTGATACGCTGAAACATTGCGATAAAATTATACATGCCTGATACCGCCATCTTCATTGGATCTTTGCCAGGTTCATTAACTAGCCCGAACAGCCCTGTATCCTTAGGCGTGACGGTGCTTTTCGATTAACTTACGACCTGTGCGCTGTGGTCACGTGTGTCGTGTGCCCACTGGTCATCATGCGGTGACCCTGGCGAGTCATTGGACTTTCTGCCCGTCACGTGATTTTACGGATGCGAATTTTAAATCTCCCTCTGCAAAGAGCTGACAGATATTAAAATGTTGCTGCTCGTCTTATGATAAGTTAGACCATTATAAGCGATGAACGATCCTTTATTTACATTGATCGAAAGCTTAAGTCCTTACATGTGCTCTTTCTTCCTATACCCTTCATTGGCACTATACGAACTCCCGTCTTCCCCGACCCTATCACTCGTTATCACATCTCACAAGCAAGAGTAGCATTCCACCCTGACCTCTACCCGCAGGTGCTGTGCTCCTCCGGCAAGCTGCGCTGGGTGGCCGACACCTCCTGTTGTCCTGCCGAATCTGGTCTCCACCCCGAGTCGACCCGACAGCCAACCTCCGACCCGTGCCAGCTGCGAGTCTGCGAGGCCGGCCAGTGGACTCTGGTGCCCGACTTTGAGCGTTGCTGCCAGCACGAGAAGGAGTGGTTCCCAGTGGGCTCTAGCCGACCGATGAGGGGCGGCCCGTGCACCTATCACCTCTGCCATGACGGTAGGTGGGAGGAGCACTATAACACCAGCTGCTGCTTTGATGAAGTCGGCTGGCACACCTCAGGAACCGTGCTGTTCACTGCTGACCCGTGCCGTACAAAAACGTGCCGGGACTCACACTGGACGGAGAGGGACACGTGCTGTAGTGAGCCAGCCACGGGGAGGAAGGTAGCCAGCGGCGACATCGTGCGCGTGGACGGCTGCACGTACCAGCTGTGCCACGAGTCCACGTGGCGTCGGCACGTGGCGTTCTCGTGCTGCCAGCGGCGCGGGTTTCAATACGAGGACGGCTCGCTGGTGAATCTCGGCTCGGCCTGTCGCCGGGACCGCTGCGTGGACGGCTCGTGGCACGTGGTGCGCCGTGAGCACGTGGCGCGCGGCCCGTGCGCCACGGGGTGGCACCGGCTCGGACACCGGTGTGTGGCGCGGATGGGAGAAGGCACGTGGCATGAGGGTGAAGAGAAGTGTGAGAAGCACGACGGTACTCTCCTTGCCGTGGCAAACAAGGCGGGATGGAATGACTTGCTCCATGTGAAAGAGAACATCACTGTCTGGTTGGGTAAGTGGTTATAAGTAACAGGCAACCATAAATGGAGGACTTATTTAATGCATTCGTTAGTGATACGGACGTATTTCATGCTTGCATGCCGTCGGATGCACCTGCTTTCAGTTCGAAATGCAATGCACCGTCGTAATTCTACGTGTTTTATTCAGTGTGTCTTGTTGAGTATTCACTGCGCCAGGTTATCATTCTGACCATCCATATACCTTTTGCCACATCAGCCTTTCAGTCCTAGCCACGAGCCAAGAAAGGACCTCATTCTCACGTGCACCCTCCCCCCTCCCCCTTCCGTTCGGCAGGTCTGAGGGGTCACGAGATCACCGAGGGTGTGACTGAGTGGCACTGGCAGGATGGTACCCCCCGCTCCGTACCCGTCCTGTGGGCTGCCGGGGAGCCTCAGACACTTCCCGGCCACGTCTGCGCCTACGTCCACCACGGCAGGGCCCACAGCGCCTCCTGCGACGAGCGCCATCTAGTCTTCTGCGAGCGGACGCACTGCGAGCATTAGAGGAACTGGTGGTTATGATAGCTGACGCCAGGTGTCACTGAGGTGCATGAAGGATCCGTCTGTGTTTGGACCGGAGCTTGTCGGAGATGTCATCTGGGTTGTCGTGACTTTCTTTTTAAGTGCACCTCAATAAATGTTTTCTGATCTAGAAAGCGGTGTAACTTGACCATTTACTTGAGGGCTTGAGCGTTGAGGCCAGTCTGTGTCGGTCAGTCCCGGACGTGGCACGAGTTGGAGTCAGAAGAGATTGCCTCTCACTGCCTCACTGGAACGCGGAATTCGGGGGAATGAAGTCACCCGTCCGTCGTTTCCGTCCTCAGGGTGTTCTGGTCGGTCCTTCTCCTGCACGCCGCAGCCCTCCTCCGGGCTGGACAGGCATCTTTATCTCATGCGGGCTGCTCCCTTGGAGCGGCACCGCTGCTCCCGACTCCGAGGGAGCACACCCGTAGCCGGATGCAGAGAGTAGGAGTACTTGGGGGCTGGTTGGCCTGTCCTTTGGGACGGGTTCAGCCCCGGTGACTCAGACTAGGGTGCCTGCCCAGACCAATGTCTCCGGCCTTCGCCTAATTCCTATCACCCCTCCGGCTCTGAAATGGTCCTGTCAGACCGAATGGGCCTAACCCAATAAAACAAACAAACAAGCAAACAAGGAGAAGGAAGTGTGTTGTGCGGGGCTCGAGTCCCCTTATTTGAAACCTAAGGAGTGTAGTAATTTTGATTGCTTGTGGCGTTCGGTAAGGGGCACATACTTTTACTTATACCTACCTATGAGTTGGAGTTCATTTTTAAACCGTGTCCGTATTAGCCCTTTAGGCATCTAACGCCGCTCATTCCTTGAAAACAGCATACACACGGTGGCTTCTTCCGTTTTTGTTAGCCAAGTACCGCGTGTTCGGTGTAACTTGGTTTGACTTTCAGGAGAACGACTTATAGCCAGTAAGACACGCCTTTTGGGGGCGTCGACGACAAGCGAGCGAGCGCAAGAGTGAGCCCTGCATGTGCGGAAATGTGAAGCGGTGCCCTCAAATGACTTGTGTGGGCTGCCAGGCCATTGCACAGTAACCACTCCACAGCGTATACCAAATATTTAATGAGCCCCCTATTTTTCGGAAATCGCTTCGCTTTGTTTGCTCCCCGTGCCAATTACACACCCTCTGTTCGCATAGAAATGTCGTTTGGAACCAACAAAATTGTTCCCACTAGAAGGGGGGGGGGGAAGACCGTGAGTGCCATTCAAGCACACATGAGCGCATTGCCGTGAAACCTCAGGTATTTTTTCTTTCATAAAACACGGAACCACCACTGTTCAAGATACAGTCCGTATTTTTTAAAGTATATTGGTGATAGGTTTGTGGGAAAGACCGAAAATTTCATGCGCTTGACGTAACGCATTTTTTAGATACTCGTATTAACGGGGAAAAAGATATAGGGGCGTGCCCCCCCCCCCCGCCAGTAGGCAGTAGGGTCAAATAAACATATAAAAACTAATTTTCGGATCGCTGGAAATAGTAGAAAACTTTCGTTTCCTAACAACTTTTGGTGTCATGCTTTGTTGATGAAATTAGTTACGTCCACAATCAGACGTTTTGGTTTCATTGACCGATGCCTCAGTCTGACGAACTGACCAGTATCAGGGCCTCGTCATACTCAAAGCTGCTTTTAAATAGCTGGCGAACAGAAACAGATAATGACCGTGTATCGTGCTGACTACAATCCCGTGCAGTATATGTATGTGTTTGTGTGTCTGCTTGTAAGCTGCTGTCGGAACTCAAAGCGATGTACTAAGCTGAAGCTTCTGTGGTCTGTTTGACTAAGGCGAGCCAAAAAAGGGCTGGACAGGCTTACTATGGTGAGCGGAGACGTGTAGCTTCGAGAAAACGTCACGTAACAGTTAAAAACGAAATCGGCTGTTGAGCTTCAGATCTTCAGATGGAAGCTCTTGCCTAAGTTGTCCATGATATGTAAAATAATTTATGTGAATATGTTTATTGTTTGTAATGTAAAACACTGATGAATCATTTCACATATTGCACTTGTCTCTTTTCTCTCACTTTACTGAGGTAATGATCATTGCAAATTGCAGGGGCGGAGCTTTCTATTCACTTGGTGGGGCGGCTGCCCCACCAACTTGCCACTTTTCCCCACCAATAAGAGTTTTGCCCCACCAACTTAAACCCGGATTTGCAGGACTTTACTGCTTAGCATACCAATATTTTTCGCATTGAGGAGCTTTGAAATGTCTGTGTAACGCAAAATATTATCTCTGTAATGAAAAGAATTGACTCATTGTTATATTTTATCTAACTTAACAATCGAACATTTTAGGTTTGACAACTTTTTGCCCCACCAGCTTTCCTGGAAAAGCTTGACCCATGGCAAACCCATGTCGAACTATGCACTATGAGTTACTATTGTAAGTGTTCGGCCCATATGCCTGAAGGACAATCGGGCCCAGCACTCAGCAGTATTGCGCCAATATCCTTACCAATCCTTCTGGCCTATCCTTACATCAATGCGACCCCATATGTCGCGCATGGCGCCCCGTTGCGCGGACCTGATGCATTGGCGAAAGTTGCTCCTACGTGCCCCGACGGTCAGTCACGCTTCATTGAGCTTAGTTTCTGGAGCTGCACGACCTGTCAGCAGCAGTGTGACGAAGCACAGTGGCCAGGTCAGGTCAGGTCACGTGCTGTGAGATCAAATGTCTGAAATCGAAGTGCACAAAAATGATGCCGTGGTAGGTGCTTATTCGTTACCAATGTCCGATAAGTATGATATGAATAAGTCAAAGTGCAGTGAATCATCCGCAGTAGTGGCTTGCTCTGTCGCTTCGGAAAATTTCATTGCAATATCTGTTGTCTTTAAATCGTCAATCCCTTCAATGACCCACGACCATGGCACACGGTCCCAGTCCGGGCCCTACGCGCCGCCTTCCCTCCCCTCCCTCCCCCTCTCCGCCCGCCATCAGCTGATTCTCCCCAGGCGAGCCCCCAGGTGACCCTCCTCCAATCAGCAGCCTCCGCGCCGACGCCAGAGACATCTAGCGGCCAGGCGGCGAACCTCTCCGCCGGCCAGCGTTCGGCAGTAAACGAGAAGTGCCCGGCGTGGTGGGATTGTGACTAGCCTTATGTGTGATACAGTGAGGTGATTTTGGAGAAGTGACGCAGGAATTCATGTGAGCTATAGTTGATTGGTCAGAGAGGGCGGCGAGCCATCGAAGCCGCGAATATGGCGACCATGGGACTCTCCAAAGGATTCATACTGGACAAATACTTCAACGAACTGCAAAAATTCTGGGACACGGAACGAAAACTTCAAGGTAAGTTGAGCCGATGTTCCCCTCCTTCGTCACCACAAGAACTATCACCAGTTTGAACACATAAGTCATCACATCGATAGTCTTTTTTGTATAGCCCGAATAGTGACACGGCGGCCGTCGCCCTTTTCCCCGTGACCCTGAGCGGGGCTCGTGGCCTCCCTCCCCGTTCCCCACGCCAGTAGCGCGGTGGGGGCTGGCTCACAGGTGTGGGGACGGCCGGCCGGACCCGGGGGCTCTACCGCCGGCCGGCCGGTCGGCCCGAACCGCGTGGTTAGACGATGGATGGGCATGGGGGTGGATGGGATGGACGGTAGACGGTGGACATTAGACAGTGGATGGACGGTGGACGGTGGACGGTGGACAGTGGATGGGCTGATGAATTCCTAGTGGACAGGGAATGAGGAATATTGGAGCATAAGAGATGCATTGAGGACGGCAGCCAGCGGATGTAAGAAGCATCGCTGATTGTATTATATGTATACAAAAATATCGCCGCAATCACAACCACAAACATTATGTGTTGAAGCTTTCTGTCAGATGCTGCGAAGTACAATCGACATTCGACCAATATAGGAACAGAGAAGCGTCTGTCACCGGACCTCTGCCATAGTGCGGCCTCCAAAAACCCGACCGTGCATCCGTCCATCCTACCGTCCATCCGTCTGTCTGTCCGTCTGTCTGCCTGTCCGTCTGTCCGTCTGTCCGTCTGTCCGTCTGTCCGTCTGTCTGTCTGTCCGTTCGTCCGTATGTCTGTCCGTCTGTCTGTCTGTCTGTCCGTCCGTCCGTCCGTCCGTCCGTCCGTCCGTCCGTCCGTTCGTCCTTTCGACCTGTCGGGCGGCGCTGGAGCCCGCTGCAGCTTCGCCCGCTCACCTCAGGCAGAGTGGAACGCAGGATGCTGAATCATCCTGGCTCTACCCTGCCCTGCTGGGCGGCTGCTGCCTGCTGAGCAGCCGAGAAGACGCTGCTGGATCGGTGCTGGATGGAAGTTTTGTGGTGGTTGGATTGGTGCTGGATGGTTGCTGAATGTATGCTGGATGGAAGTTGGTTGGTTCATGGATGCTTGGTCGATGTTTGATGAGTTATAAATGGTTACTGAATAGATATTGAATGGGTATTGCTCATTTGCTGGACAGAAGCTGAACAGGTGTGTGAACTGGCGGTGCATGTGATGGATGTGCTGAAATGATTCTGAATTGGTGCTGGATTGGTTCAGTATATGTGCCGAATGCTGCTAATTGGTCATTCGTCCGGCCACCTTGATATTGGGACAGCTGCTGGAGGTTTTGACGGCTTTGGGCTGCTAGATAAGAGGGCAATTTTCTGATGAGTTTGACAATCGGAAACAGTCGGCTTCCCTAACATCCGAACACTGTCTCGCTCCTACCCTGCCTTCTATACCTATTAGTCTGCCAAGTTACCTCCTGGGTGACTAGTGATCACCCCATCTCAATGCCCCCTTACTGCGCTGCTGGCCAGGCTGTGTCGCGCTGGCCAGGCACTGTGCTGCTAGTCAAGCTGAGCCGCGTTGGCCAGGCTCTGCCATGCTGGTCCGGCCGTTGGTCAGGTCAGGTGCTACTGCAGTTTCTCCCGGCTCTCTCGGCAGTCCCCGGAGGCCGTTACGGTACCGGTGCACTCTGCAGGTTATACTTACACCAAGAGAGGCGGCGCCGGCGGCCACCGGGCTCGCTCGTTACACGGACAGGTCAGCAGGGATGCCCGGTGGTAGCTGCGCATATTGTGAGTTATGTGCCCAGCCAGGGCGAGAGCCGTTAGGTGCGCAGGTCGTTAATCGACCCAGGCTGCATCTAGCGCCAGAGTAATGATTGCCAAAGTGGGCTGTGCGCCTTCGGCGGTATGAACGAAGTAAAACTACCGACCAGTAAAAAAGAAATGTTAGTTGCAAAGTTTTTTGACAAACATGAGAGCCCTTTTCATTACTTGTGCTGCTTCTGTCATCTCATTGAATTCTAGGCATAAGTTCTCTTTTGTGATTTGGCCACCGTAACACCCAACAGCATGAAATCCTACAATAATTGGCTTACGGGAGTTGAGCGCCTCTGTGGCCCGGCATTTCTTCTCAGGGTCTCATGGCTGGAAAACCCGGACACAGCTAAGCTGGACGTGCTCCTGACCATTACACAGAGCACGACTGTAAAGGGCAGCCCCGTTCTGCTGGTCATTTGCTGGCGGTGTGTTCCGCCGCCAACCGCAGTGGCGGAGTTACTGATTATTACAGAAATCCAGGCGGAGAACATACGACAGTGCGATGTTGGCATGTTGAAGCATGATCGACAGCAGAAGAGAGGCCAACGAGCTCATATAGGAAAAGTAGATCATTGGGCTATGAAAAATGTAGGTGGTGCAGTATATGCTCAGAATCATTCAAGTAAACACTCGTTGCCTGGCTTTGTATAAGCTGTCACACATGAATTTGCGATTCAAACGCAAGCATAGCAACTAATACCAAATCCTGCAGCACTGTGCATCACTGCATGACCAGGCGGTTTCGGGTCAGGTCAGGTCGGCCGAGTGTACATCAGCGTCTCTCTTAGCAGCGTCACTGCAGCTGGCAGTATGCCAGAGACCCGCCGTGTTTCTGATCGCTGGTTGGCTGCGCTGGAGCCGCTCAAAGCTGGTTCAACGAGCCCAGATGTCAGGTCATGTCCGGCTGGGCAGGGCCCAACGGCTGGGTTGGCAACCAGCTCCGAATTGTGTGGTTTCTCCGCTTCTGGCGAAAACAGTGTAACTCTTCTGAAAGCCTACATAGCAACCTGGCAGAGAAAGGGTCTTTCCGACGCTAAATGCTTCTGTGGTCTTTGTGCTAGCGCACGTAAGATAATAATTTTAAAACTTATGACCAAATAGTAGGTGGAAGTTTACTGTTTGGATATATGTAGTTGAATGGGAAATCCGAATCTGTGCTGGGCGCTTCAGCGTGTAACATAGCTTGCTATCAGTTTTCTATTTACCTACATCGTGCTGACAACAAAAGTGGGCAGTCAGTATAGATTTTAATGTCCCACTCGCAGCATCAGGGAGAATATCATTTGCTGATTGCTTAATCAAATCGCAATTTTATATCACCACTCATAGACCTACACAGAGGTCTATGCACCACTTCATGCTCTCCAGATGATTATCCACGATCTCGTAACGCTATGTATCTGTCGCAAATGTCGTCATGAAGCCCTTCATATATTCCTTAGGGATATGGTGATGCAGTCGACTCGAACAGTTCATGATGGATTTCGTGATGGATCATGGGCGTATGTCTCTGAGCTGGACTTAGGTTCGTTTCTGATACAGGAAACGTCAGCTCACCAATGCTGAAAGCGCTACACCGTTGACAGTTCTTCGAAATGGCTTAGCTGCACTCCAACATGGATAGATCATGACTTTACAAGAACAATGCGAGCTCAACTTTTGGAGCTTTGCTGGGAGTTACACATGTTTTATTCCACATCTTTCATGTCTGTTGCTAGTCAGTCTTTACAAGTCTGAGTGACTACTTTATGTCCATGAAACAGCAGCCCGAACTATCACAGCAATATAGATTAGCTGCTGTCGTTAGCATGCCGGCTAAAATCACCGTCGTGTTCCCGATAAGCTGCGAGTGCATGCATTGCTGCAACCGGCAGAGATTGCACAACAGACCGGTGTGACCGCATGCGTCTGCAGTCCTTGTCAGCACACAGTTGCAAAACAGTTGCTATCTCTGCACAGCGGCGATAGAAAAGCCGAGGGACAAAACACAGCGTTTCAAAGTCAGACCAGACTGCAAATGAACCATGGTTATAAAGCTCCTATCTATGCATGTAAGAATGTGATCGATGGTGCGTGGACCAGAATTTTTTTTTCTGTAGCTCTCATCAGAACCACGAGCTAGCGCAGCACCAAAGCCCGGTTTTTGTCAATTCATACCTGATCAGCACGTCTCCCGGGCTCGCCGTGCGCCTCATTTATGAGATATAACGGGAGACGTTATCACACAATCTTAATGACTCTCGTCGGCTACCTCTGGTCACTCGGAGCGAACTAACAGGCAGATGAGGTTAACTAGCGCGACGGCCTTTCTCGGCCTTCTTGCGAGTGGTTTTGTAGGTACGGATGCCTTTTTCGTAAGAATCTTGGTCATTTTTTGCTGATTACTAACTTCTTCAACTTATGCTGCCTTTTGATATTTATCTACAGTTTGCGGGCAGTCATCGCGTCAACTTTCGTAAAAAAATACCACCCCAATTTTCCGTTTTGCATTTATGCAGCCTTATCACGCAAAATAAAGTTTTATTTGCACTATTGGAAGCTGAGCGGACCAAACTTGTCCCATTTAGCGCTATCGACATGCCTCTCCGTTGTCTCCGCCACTGCTGTATGAGACAATTGTGACTTTTTTCTTTTATTGCTGGACTGATGACTTCCTGGACTGGACACGGTCACCCGCAGGCCTAGCTCTCACATATTACCGGAAACCTCCTTCCTTTCCTTTCTTACCGTATCTTCTCTCTCCCTTTCCCTCTCCCCCCTCTCTCTCTCTCTATCTCTCTCTCTCCCTCTGCCTTTCCCTCTCCCTCTATATCTCACCCCCTCTTCTCTCTCTTTCTCTCTCCCTCTCCCTCCCCCTTTCCCTCTCCCTCTCCCTCTCCCTCTCATTCTCCCTCTCCCTCTCATTCTCCCTCTCCCTCTCCCTCTCCCTCTCCCTCTCCCTCTCCCTCTCATTCTCCCTCTCCCTCTCCCTCTCACTCCCTCTCCCTCTCTCTCTCTCTTCCTTTTCTCTCTCTCTCTTTCTCTCTCTCTCGCTCTCTCTCTCTCTCTTTCTCTCTCTCTCTCTCTCTCTCTCTCTCTCTCTCTCTCTCTCTCTCTCTCTCTCTCTCTCTCTCTCTCTCTCTCTCTCTCTCTCTCTCTCTCTCTCACCATTTCTCTCCTCCCCTGTTCCTCGGCGGCCATCCAATGCCAGCGTCAGCTGTACGATCCGACAATAAATAGCGCTAACGAAACAATTG